CCCTCCCAGGGGGATGGACAACAGAAAAGTGGGTGAAGGGAGACATTGGTCAGTGTAAGACATGAGTAAATAATAATTAATAAATTATCAAGAGTTCATGAGAGAGGATGGGGGAGGGAGGGGAAAATGAGAAGCTGATACCAAGGGCTTAAGTAGAAAGAAAATGTTTTTGAAAATGATGATGGCAACAAATGTACAAATGTGCTTGACACAATGGATGGATGGATGGATTGTGATAATATGAGCCCCCAATAAAATGATTTTAAAAAAAAAGAAATAGACTGGCTGGCAGACGCACCCATGGTCCAATCCATGTAGCCTTGACACTGACTTTTGCCACTGAAGGGGCACTGGCGTCTGCCAGCAGCGCTTCTGAAGGTGTCCTCCCAGGGGCTCTCCCAGTTCTTCGGCCACAGGTTCTCAACCCGTGGGTTGAGATCCCTTCGGGGGGTCGAACAACCTTTCACAGGGGTCGCCCAATTCATCACAGCAGCAACATTACAGTGATGAAGTAGCAATGAAAATAAGTTTATGGTTGGGGGTCACCACAACATGAGGCACTGTATGAAAGGGTCGCAGCAGGAGGAAGGTGGAGAACCACTTACTGCCTGAAGCAAGCCCAGCGAGGCCATCAGATCATTCCTGTCTCACAGATCATGCAACGGAGCTCCCAAGAGGGTCCGGAACTCACACCCAAGTTTGTGCTTGTTGATACACCACTGCTCCCGACAGTTCTGAAGGTGCTGGGGAGGGGTGCTGATTAGCATCGGGGTTCGGAACCAGGGCTGGGCTGGCCTGTGGGGGTTAGCGTGCTTGGCACCTTGCCCAACTACGGAGTCTGTGTTTATCCCAGGCCACACCCAGCACACCCACCACCTTGGGTGCTTCCAGCTATCAAGAGTGGCTGGAGATTGCTGGCTTTTTAAAGCCGGGGCTCAGTGTCCCGGGCGTTAATGTTTAAGCGCCTTATCAGATGGCGCGGCTCGTGCGGCTCTCCGGGGTGAGGGGATGGGACCGTACACCCGGGAAGCCCGCTGTCCCGTTCCAACTCACAGGAGCCAGTCGACAGCGATGATGAGGGTGACGTCCTGGGCGGGCAGCCCCACAGCGCTCAGCACAATCACCATGGTCACCAGGCCAGCCTGGGGCACGCCGGCAGCGCCGATGCTGGCGGCCGTGGCGGTGACACTGTGGGGAGAGCAGACGGCAGGACAGGCGTCAGAGGCCCCGTCCCACTCCCCTCCCTTCACGGAGCCCTGCGTCGTCCCAGCAGCTGGGACTGCTCTGTCCTCCCACTGGCCGCTCAGAACTGGCCTCTGGGGGCATCCATGGGGCCTCCTGCTAGGGCGAGGGTGGTGGGCACCCAGAGGAGCCCGAGGCCCTCTCCTTCTGGGGAGGAGGGGCAAGTCACCACAAAGCAAGGAGGGGCAACGGACAATGAACAAAAGACTGGCGAGGCAGGCAAGAGTTTTCCGGCCTCATCTACCCAGCCACCTGTCCAGCCCAGCTTCCCTCCCGCCTTGTCCATCCTTCCATCCACCCACAAGTCTACACACCCATTCATCCATCCCTTCCCCGCGCCCTCTCATCTATCCATCCACCCATCTGCCTACACGCCCTCCATCCATCCATCTACTCATCACGAGTACGTGACAGGTATCTATCAGCCTGGTGTCTTCCTCCTGTCTTCTGCTCCCCCACCCCCAGGCACTTCCTGAGCACCCCATGTCGTCGGGAATTGAGGAACGAGTAGAGGGAGAGTGGTGGCAGCCCCTGGGGGCTAACTCATTCATCTGCTGACCCAAAGGCCAGAGGCTCACGTCCACTCAGGGCATCTTGGCAGAACAACCTGGCAATCTGCGGCCACTGAAAATCCACGGGCCACAGTTCCACTCTGACACCAGGGGTCATCCAAAGTCCGAGCCAACTGGTCTGCTACTTTCAGGGGGAGAGAGGGAAGGGTGGGCGAGCAAGGGTATTTCAGGTGACCTATAAAGGTACAAAGACCTTCACGGTATCATCCTCTCTCAGGTAGAGCCAGAGAGAAGTTGCTCCAGGTTAATGATAACTCTGGGTCTCCAGGTGAGCCAGCTGGTGATGATGTTGACCATGGAGGTGGTTCGGCCACCTGGTGACTCCATTGGACAGAGCAGAAAGACCGTGTAGGGCTTCCGAGGTTGTGAACCTTCACAGGAGCACCAAGTCAGCGACTGCAGAGAATTCCAGTTACTAGAGGCCTGGACATCGCCTGCTCGAGTAGATGGTGAAACGTGTGAACTCTGATGCAGCTCCGTTCTCTGGCCCAGCACCTCCCCACATGGAGCCACTAGCCAATAGCTCCCTTACGCGAGCAATCCACTCCCTCAGTGCCCTCCACCGGGGCTGGGCTATCTGGCGCCGCTTAGAGGGAGTTGCTGTGGAGTCTGCTGACTCATCGCGACCGTGTCCCCGTCCTGCCATCCTCACAATTGTTCTGTTTGGGGTAACGCGCTCAGCTGCTAACCGCAAGCTGCTCCGCGGGACAAAGAAGAGGCTTCTGTGCAGACGCCCTGGAAACCCCATGGGGGCTGGTCTACTAGGGTCACTAGGAGATGGAATAAGATTGATGGCAATGTTGTTTTAAAAATCTTCAGGAGTCTTCCCATGATCCTTGAAAGCAAGGACCGGTCCGTCCTTAGTCAACCCCACTCGGTGTTTAGCGCCCACTGGGTGCACTGAATTGAGGACCCGAGCAATGCCTCTGGTTGGCTAGAAGCTGAGGCAGCAACCCCGAGAGCCACGATCCCAATTCTTTTAATCAGCCTGTGTTTCATCTCGGGGAGGGACTCTGCCGGCCAAGACAAAGCACCCACCACTGGACCATTCTCAGCTTCTGCGGCAGTTACATCATCTCTTGTCAACTTGAGTGAAGGGGTGGGGTCTAGCCTGTCAATCAGGTCACAGGCAATCATGCCTGTGTGTGGGGATGGCCTTTTTTGGAGGATTCTGGGAGCTCCTGTCTTCCTCCCTGGAGGCAGGACACAATCTCTCCCTGCTTGACATTCCTGTTGACAAGCCACATGGAGCTACGCTGATGGCACCCTGGAGCTGGAGGAGCCAGGTGGAGACCCACGCCAGCACTGAGATGCTTCCACGGCCATTGGATCCACAAGACCTTCCATCCACTGGCCTGTGATCATCCTGCATTCAGTGTCATTGCATGTTTCATGAGCCTGAAGAGGAATATATAGACTGGAATTGGACATATGGGCTAATATCGGACTTATGGACTTGATCTGCACTATATAAAGCTCTCTCTTACACACATGAGGGTCCCTGGATTTGTTTCTCTAGTCTACCCGGACGAACACAGCCTCCTTTCGCAGAGCACTTTCACACGAGACAACCCTATGGCAGGTGACAAAGCGAGTGTGACACCTCCCCCTCGTCCCACCTGATAGTGATGATCTGTCCGATGCCCAGATCCATGTTGTTCAGCTGGGCAATGAACACGGCGGCCACCGCCTCATAGAGCGCCGTCCCGTCCATGTTGATGGTGGCCCCGACGGGCAGCACGAACCGAGTGATCCTCTTGTCCACCCCGTTCTTCTCCTCAGCACAGCGGAAGGTGACAGGCAGTGTCGCCGAGCTGCACAGCAAAAGGAGAGAGGGATTATGGGGGGCACACCTCTTCCAGAAACTACACCTGGAGCCCAACAAGGGAGGCAGGGCGTGAATGTCAGCAACCAGCAGCTCCCTGCTGCCCCGCCACCTGTTCTCAGGACACAAGCAGTGCCAGAATGAGGGCCTACATTCAAGGGCGGAGGACAGAGAACACAGAGGAGGTCATGCCTCACGCTGAGCACCGGCTCCCAGGACCAGAAGCTGGAGCGGGCGCTTTACGGACAGAGGTGAGTGAGGCTGCTGCAGAAACTTCTCTCCTGCTCACCTGGAAGAGATCATGAGAGCCGTCAGGAGAGCCTGGGCCATCCCCATGGCGAAGCGGAAAGGGTTCTTCCGCACGACGATGAAGTAGATCAGCGGGAGGAGGATGATGGAGTGGATTGCGAGCCTGCAAGGCGGGGGAAGACTTGTTCATGCCCAGGGCCCCCTCCTCCCTCCTGTCAACCTTCATCACGGCCCAGGGAGAACGGGGCAGGCGTCCACGGCCCCTGCGGGGAGGTGGGAGCTCAGCGGCTGAAGCATTTTGTCACAGGTCCCTCTGAACTTGGTCACGGGCTGCTGCCAACCCATGTGTGCTTTTGTCTGTGACCCCAGCCCTCCCCACTTCCTCCTGCTGACTCCTTCAATACAAGGGAGCGCCCGGCCACCCACCCAGATGGTGACACTGCAGAGAAAGACCAGCGACCTGCTTGCACCAGAACAGCCTGGGGAGGCCATGATTCATCTCAGCGGACTGGACACCACCCAGCAACCACCATACCCTACAAGGCTCATTGATGGCCCCCTCCTCCAGGCCTCAGCCCCTCTGTTGGAGCTCACCCTGCCCTCCTCCAGGCCCTCTCGGGCCCCATGACACCCATTACCCCAGTGCCAGCACGCCCTGTCCCACTGTCACAGAGGACAGTTTCAGGATGAAAGTCCCTGGCTTCCTCAGACTCTGGGCCTCTCTTTGCATCTCTGTCTTCCAATAGCCTTAAACCCGAAACCTAACTCCCTGCCCTGCTGTTGGTACCGACTCACATTGGCCCTTCAGGACAGGGTAGAACAGCCGCCGTGAGTTTCGGATGTTATAACTCTTTACGGGGCAGAAAGCTCCATCTTTCTCCCATGGAGCACCAGATGGTTTTGAACTGCTGATCTTGTGGTTAGCAGCCAAATACATATTCACCACACCCCTAGGGCTCCTCCCTGGGTGGTAGTGGAGATGCAAATGACCCACCCTCGGCCCCTCCTCCCGCTTCTTGTGAGCCTAAAGTACCCTCTTGGATACGTTGATGATGTTGGACAGTCACTTGCCCATCAACGGGGTTCGACCCAACCAGCCATCCATTCTCCCTGGCTGCAGTAATTTCATTCAGACCCCGCATGATCCCTGCCACACAGTTACTGCGTTTGGGGGGGTGGTTCAGGTTCACCCCAAGAGGTCTCCGATGCAAGGTCGGGTGACCTGCTTATGGGAAAACCAGCCGCGGAGCACCCCGGGGCACATATGGGGTCCGCAGGGCTCAGTGTCCACTTGAAAACTGGTTTCACGGTTCCTTCCAGGCTCTGGGCCCCCAGGGGCCATGCTTACACTCCCCGGGGCTTCCCGTGAGGGCCGGGGAGGAGAGCTGCTGACACGCACAGCGAGCGGGCTCCGCACACTTGCAGCTGCTACAGGGCGGCCCCTCCCACCCCACCTGGCCCTGCACCCAGAGGGGAGCCCTTTTGGATGGGCTAAAGTCAGCTTTGCGCACAGCGTCCCGTCCCCGGAGGCAGAGTCCGGTCTACGGCTTACCCACTCATCACTGTGGCCATGTACAGGCCCAGCTTCCGGAAGATCTCCCAGTTCTCCACTTCGATGATCTTGCCGGCAATCATGAAGAGGATCCCGATGGGCATGTAGCTAGAGGGATGCAAGCACAGCTTTGATGCAGCGCCGTGAGAGGGGCCCCTTTTCCCGGGGCGCGGCCTGTGCAGCCGGGGGCATGGCCACATCGGGGAAGCCGGGCTCAGAGCTGCTGGCTCGGTCCCAGGCCCTGCAAGTTCCATCACTTCAGCCGTCCAGCCTGCTGTGCAGGGGCAAGCCAGGCCACATCGTGGGGCCAACGGGTCCTCCCCGTCCCCCACCTCCCATGGACGGTGACTGTAGTCTCCCTCTAGCTTGACCGGCACCTCCCAACGTGGACCCTCAGTTCCCACTGGCCCCGCCTTCTTGTTTGCCAGGCTGTCGTGCCCACAAGCATCCCTGGGGGCTGCCAAGGGTGCGAGTCCACCTAGGTAGACTCCTGGCAGCCTGTGGAGGACCGTTCTGCTCTGCCACACAGAGGGCGGGGGTGCCATGAGCCAGAACCAGCTCTAGGACAACTGGTGATGCCCGTGGTTAGTGTCCTCGACAGGCGGACGAGCATCGCCAGCAGGTGTGGTTGCAGCAGCTGTTTGTGGGGTGCTGAGCGTATGCTCTGTCTCTGCTCGGGGCTAAGCCCTGGAACACGCCTGTGTACCTTGACTCTGCCCTTCTCCCAGGCCTGGAGTAGGCCGCAAAGGGCCCTTTAACATCCTGGCTCCCAGGGAAGGCGAGATGGAGCGCCTGCTGCATCCCTGTCGGTAGGTACGCACTGAGCAGATTCGGTGAGATAAGTAGGTCATGGTGCCTAGGAAAGGTGGCTTTCCTGGCATCTCTGGGGACAGATAGGGGGGTCGTGCCACTGGGGTGTGTCCACCCCTTAGCAGTTTCTGGGCAGATAAGCTTGAGCCCTAAGCTGCCCGGAAGTACATATTTTGAAGGTCACTCCTTCCTTCCTAGTAAGGCACTCACTGTGCATTTTGAGAAATCATCCCTTGCTTGTTGGGTGTGGGATGAGCTCCTAGAGCCACGGGGCAGGGCCACGGCTGACATCTGTGAGCGAGCTCCTGCGGAGGTGGTACCTGGAGCTAGTTAACCATCTGGGGCCTGGATGAAGGTCCGGTCACGCTCACCAGAGCTCAAGGTCTGTGCCCACCCAGAGATGGCTGGGAAAGGGCATGGCCACCTCCCAGGGGGGACAAAATGCCAGCCAGTGAAAATCCCACGAAGCACAGTCCTCGTGTGGCACACGCGGGCCCACCCTGCGTGGAAGGTGACTGGACGGCACCTGGCTGACACTACATGCCAGCCTCTCTGGAGCGAGGTCAGTGGGGAAACCCCGGGGAAGCCCAGGGCACGGAGGGTCGGGGCAGTGCTGGCTCACCACATGATGATCTGCACGATTTTCATGGTGGCCTCGCTCAGGGCGTCGAAGAAATCCACCAGGACCTGCCCCTTCTCTCCCATTTTCCCGATGATGATCCCAAAGACGAGGCAGAAGATGATCAGGCCCAGGACGTTGATGCCGTCTGTGTACATGCCCACGACCTTGTAGTCTGTGGTTTCGTTCTGGGGACCGAAGCCGCGGGGAGGAAACACACACAGCCGTGTGACCGGACTTCTGCTAGAAATGGCCGGGTGTGGGCACCAGGCATCCCCAACAGGGGCGGACGGGCCACCCTGCCCACCATCCTTTTGGAAACGTGACTCGAAGCAAAATGGCGTGTGAAGCAATGCCTGTCCCCGCCGCGTTCACATTTCACAGCTTCCTGGCCTCAACGAGACTCTGAGTTAAAAACATTTCAAGCCCTTTCGCATATTTCTTTTGGAGATCTCCCCTTCTGGCGTTGTTGGCACTTTCACAGGAATTTCAGAATCAAGGTGCTTTTCGGGGTGATTTTAACTATGAGCCGCCTTTGGCGTCGGCTTCAGGAAAATAAAAAACCACCACCACCAACAAAGAAAAACCCCTCAACGACTCAGGGAGGAAGAGATCTTGACGAGGTGGAGCATTGTAAGGACTTTCTACAAGTGTGAGGACGGTGCAGGGCCGGGCTGTGTTTCATTCTGTTATACAGTGGTCACTCTGAATTATAGCGGTCACTCTGAATCAGGCTCACTCACCAGCACCTAACAACCCCCCCACCCCACCAAGCATGGGACCTTCTTCACTGCCTGTCACCCAGACTTCATGGACATGAGGCTGTGAAGAACTGTAGACAAATGTACATTAACTGTGGGTTTTTGTCAAAGATACAGAGAGATTCAGGAGTTACAGACACCCATCAACTAGGGCACGGGTCCTCAAACCACGGCCCGCGGGTCACATGCGGCCCGCTGAGGACATTTATCCAGCCCGCCGGGTGTTTTTGACGCCGCTGCCCTTCCTGCTTAGCAGCCGACTCGTCCAGTGTGCATAGGAATTTGTTCAGTTTTTTTTTAAACTATAGTCCAGCCCTCCAACGGTCTGAGGGACCGTGAACCGGCCCCCTGTTTTAAAAGTTTGAGGACCCCTGCTCTAGGGCCTATAGTCTAGGCCAGTGGTTCTCAACCTGTGGGTGGCGACCCCTTTGGGGTCGAACAACCCTTTCACAACAGTCGCCCAATTCATCACAGTAGCAAAATGACAGTGATGAAGTAGCAATGAAAATAATTTTATGGTGGGGGGTCACCACCACATGAGGAACTGTATGAAAGGGTCGCAGCATTAGGAAGGTTGGTCTAGGCTCTCTGAGGGTGAAGTAGGTTACACCTTTGACTGCTAAGCACAAGGCCAGAGATTTAAACCCAGCAGACACTGCACAGGTGAGAAATGAGGCTTTCCACTCCTGGAAAGAGTCACTGCCTTGTTCTGTCAAAAAGAACAGGGCTAGAAGCGCCATATGATGCAGCAATACAGCCTTGCTGGGCATAGGCAGACGCATGCTCGTCCACGTTCACTGCAGCATAGTTCATGACCACAAGGATCTGGAGACAGCCCACATGCCCATCAGCAGAAGAATGAATAAAGCAACTCTGGTGCATGCACACCGTGGAGTGGTACGCATCCCTGAAAAAAGCGGTGATGAGGCCATGAGACCCCTCATGCCATGGGGGGACCTGGGAACCGTTGTGCCGAGTGAAGTCCATCAATCACAAAAGGGCAGCTATTGTGTGAGTGCACTGCCAGAGGGGTGAACACAGA